CTTGCCTCATGAGAAGCCATTTGCTGAGCCAAATCTGCGGGGTCCATGGCCCTATCGTAATGTAACGAGAATATACCCCAACACGCAGGATTCAGCAAAACAAAAGACAACACAGAGGAGAGATACGTCTACCGGACCTTAGAATGGCCGGACTCGACGTATATGAGAGGAGACAGAGTCAGGAACAATCCGAAATCAAGGGCACAGAGAGACAGCGTAAACTAGGACAAGCCGGAGTCTGGTACACAGTAAACAACAAGCCAACAACCAGAACAGAAGGATAAAGAGAAAACGTAGTCAGAAACAAAGCCAAGGTCAATACGGAGAAACACAACTGAACACAACAAGCGCTAAAGGGAACTGATACAGAAACCACGATAGGGCAAGGAACAAAGGGAAGAAGGTGAGTATAAATACCTAAACATCTAATTTGATTGGTCCCTGTCACATCCACGCCCCCAAAAGGTAAGTGTATGGGGAGTGTGGCATGACAGGGACCAATGGGATGCCTTTTCCAATTTAGGCACCCACTGTCCCTTTAAGAGCGCGCCCGATACCCGCGGCGTGCTCTTAGAGTTAGGTGGAACACGTGACCGCTTTCCAGTCACAGCGGTCGGCTGAGCCGCGCGCGGCTCGTGCAGCAGCAGGACCGCGCGCGGCTCGAACAGAGGACCCCGGCCGGCCCCTGGAAAGGGTAAGTACCGCTACACATAGTGACTTTACCATTTGGACCTGTGTTTTCTGGGATATAAGTGCAACAAGTCATGGTGTCAGGTAGTATTTTACATACACCCCCCTTTTCAGCTAGAATCATGTCTAAGGCCATTCTGTTCTGGAAGGTCATCTGGGATGTGGCCTGCAACTGCTCGGCCAGGCCCTGGAGGGCATCCCTGGTGTAGTTGACAAAACGCTGTTGGTTGTAATAAATGTAGTTAATCCAATTAAGGTTTTTGTTGGCAGTGACTATGGTAAAAAGTGATTCAAAACCTACAGCTACTTCATCTATAGCTTTAAATTCATTAGGCACCCCCCTAGGTACCCCAATGGCATCTATGTAAATGTGGGGGTCAAAACTGCCTTTTACTGGGGTTTCACGCTTAATCCTAGCTAACGTCTGTGGGGAATCGTGGGTGCCGGGATGATTGTCAGAAATAATGTGGATGGGCATGATAACCTTGGCCAAGGTACACTCCCCCCACCAGTCAGTCTCCAGTCTGGATCTTAACTGCAAGTCCCCACATAGCCAGTAAATGTCTCCTAGTGACCTGGTGTGATGTTGTAACAGACGTATGGGGACAGTTCTGTAAGTGGCACAATAACCTTTAGAAAAATTACCCATGAATTTACCAATCCCGTCATACATGGCATAACAAGTGTAATTACCTCTATAGACTGTGATTCCATCTGGTGGCTTAACATTTTCAACTAAGAGGGGGTACTCTGCTGCCCATGATTCACAGAGGGATCTGTTGAAATTATAGCGGTAGGCAAAAAGACTAAGGAAGCAATTCTCTATCTCCAAAGGGAGAGTTAGAGGAACGGTGCCAAGATGAGGTCGAGCACCACCACACACATAGCATGCGGTTTTGTTATGTTTATTAGCATTATACCTCATCCATTCTAACCACAAATTAATGTCATTGAATCCAGTTTCAGCGGCCATGGTATCTTCAAAAGTGGGGTTAGCGATGGCCATCATATCTTTAAAGGACTGGATATGTGGTTTTAGCGGATTTGGGACCATATGATCAGCCCCTTGCCACTCTGGAGAGTGGTACATATCTCTGAGGTAGAAATGACCTAATTTGTTGTAGGAACCTTTCTTCCAATACATTCCCATTACATATCGGTCTGCATCCTCGGGGCCAGGATGTTCAATATTTAACATTAATTTCATAGGGGTACTTCCTCCAGGCTTTCTTAAAGTCATTCTTTGAAGGAGGGATCTACCCTGATTGTCTATCTTAGATAAAGCACTTTTGGGTTTATAACCCCAGGCAGGCCCAGTATTCCATCCCGCAGCCCCCCAGTAGTTACAGTCATAACCCCATTGTTCATCTACTACACAAACGTAAGGGTCTTTTGCTTGTGGTATATCTTTATAAATGGCTTGAATCTGTGACTTAGGGAATGGGCATTCTACAATATCACAGTAATCAAAGGTGAATGCAGCCACGTGGGTACATGATGAATTATACCAGAAAGTGTACCCACTAGCATCTTTGGTGATGGCCACCTGCTGGGCTTTAAGGAGGCCAACTAAGGAGATAATGTACCAGAGGCACATGGTTGCATAGAGTTAGCTTCCTCTGGGGCAGGTGTCTTCTTGCAATGGGAAGCGTGGATCCAGTTAGGCCTTCCGGCCAATTTGACAGAGGTAGGGGAGATCAGGAGAACTTGGAACGGTCCGTCAAATCTCGGTTCCAGGGTGTGTTTTTGCACAAATTTCTTGACCAGAACCCAGTCACCGGGGAGCAGACTGTGGTTGCCTGTGTCAGAATCAGGATCTGGAATTGAAGAGAAAACTTGGGCATGGATTTTGTTCAAAGCATTGGCAAGTTCAGTTACATAGTTTACTAAAACATTAGTATGAAGTTGTAATTGCTGGGGAAAATAGCAACCTAGCCTGGGTGCTGACCCGAATAGAATCTCGTAAGGGGACAATGAGGGCTTCCCTCTGGGTGTATGTCTGACACTAAACAGGGCTATTGGCAAGCTTTCGGGCCAGGGCATTTTTGTTTCTTGCGACATTTTTAGCATTCTAGTTTTCAGGGTGCCATTCATACGCTCCACCTTACCACTGCTTTGTGGGTGATAAGGTGTGTGGAAGGCAAGGGTCACTCCTAAGGCGGCCCAAATCTCTTTGGTTACTGATCCTGTGAAAGCTGGGCCTTGGTCATGACAGAGTATTTATATCGGCAGACATTTTGTGCTATGATAGAAACTAAAAGTGTATATTCTGAGTCACTCTGAACAGACCAGACTCCATTTTGTTATTTCAAGTTAACAAAAAGACACTATATTTCTATCTGTAAGCTAACCACTTTCCCAGATCTGAGGAATGCATAGTATATACAAACAAGTGATAAGGAAGGGGGTTGGATAGACTGTCTAAAATGCTAATGGAATATAATCAAATCTAAACCCAGACAATTGTGACAGAGAAGATTAAATAATTTAATATTTAACTGTCTATATATATAAGGTACCATTGTATGGAAAAGGGTAAACTTAGTTCATGATCTGTCATATCAGAAATTATGGCAGGAATTGCAGACGCTAAGTCTGGACAAAATTTAAGAAACCCTTTGAAATTTTAAATTATGGCGCTATAAAGATAACGCAAAATGACGTCAAAATAGCCACCAGGAAAAGTTAACTCTTTCCTGGATAGGTATGTTTAGTGGGACAAGACTGCCCTCTATAGACCAAATACCTAATTTGCGTTCTAGAAGATAACCACACCTCTAGTGCTTCTATTGGGTTATCAACTGATGACGTACAGAGAGTCTAGCCCTTTAAAAGTTAAGACAAAGGGAAGATAGAGAGATACGAAGACGAAGGAGGCAGATGCAAGATATGCAAAGGAGAGAAAAGAGAGGAATTGGAAGTTTGGGGACTCCAACCTCCATGCAGAGACACATCCAAATAAATTCCTGAGACTACCAATCGGATGAAATATCTACTCAACTGGTAATTATACTGGTTTCATTTAATTAAATTAAATTAATTAAAATGTATTAATAGCATTATATATGACTGGATAAAGCACGGTCAGATTTCCATATTAAGAAATCTTAGTTAACTAAGAATATATAGTTATAAACATTCCATTCTGCAGGTGGAATTAAGAATAATTATATATTGATGTGATATTATCACGTGTTAGCATACCGCTGTTTTTATCCAGGTGTATTGATTTGCTCTAAATTAAGATAGATATCTTTTAGACAAATTAAAAACCTGCTTATATAATGTAGTAGATTCTCTGGTTTAAATGTTATTTTATTTAAAAATTACATAAGAATAGATCTTAACTACCTAGGAGATCTAGCCAGCATTGAAAGGGTTACTCTAACTGTCTGCTAAACTTTACGACCTTACGCTGCACTCTGAGGAATTCTGTTCTTTGCTGTGAAAAGTTTCATTTAAGTCTGTGAAAGATAGTCATAAATAAAGTCTTGACAGAAAATGCTTTTTAGCCATTGAAACGTAATACCCATTTCTTTGTATTGCATATAATTATGTACTGGATATTCATTGATTATTGTTATGCATGTTACATAATATTATTTGTTAATTATTGGTTATCATAAATAAAATCTATTTTTATACATTGTGATATCAATTATATGAAATACATTCCACTTAACACGATAAACGTTCTTTGGGATCTGAGAATTGAATTAGTGGGCAATTCTCACTGTTACTATTATTATCCCATA